AATCCCACACCAGAGGATGACTTACAGAAGCCAGCTAAAAGTCGTGAGTTTGCGACACAAACAGATGTAAGCAAGCACGAACTGGCCCTTAAACTCGAAACCATGATGATGAGAAATGCTGCTATCAACTCAAGAGAAGTATTAACAAAGGTGGTTAGTAACGCATCTTATGAAATTGTAAAGGAAAACTCAGAACTAATGAAACACTTCGTTGGACTGACTTCTGCCCAGTTTGATGTTCTGTATAATTTCCTGAATGATGTCTGTCCTTTAGACAAAATATCATATTGGAGTTACGCCATTAAAGGAAAGCAACCGGGCATCGAAGGTTAAAGCTACCACAACCAACTCTATGTCTAGGTGGTCATCCAGAGAGAAACTGTATATTTGCCTTCTCAGACTTCGTACTGGTTTCACCATCAAGACAATGTCTGTCCTCTTGAGTACCCCTGACAAACCTATAAAGGAAACAACAGTGCGGGACATATTTACGACATTTATACAGTTAATGTATAAAATTTTCAGAGAAATGGAAGATGTTATGTTTCCCACAAGAGAAACATTACGAAGATTTCTTCCCAGAGTTTTCAAGACCATGAAGAATGCTCGATGCACTGTTGACTGTACCGAGTTCAGGATCCAGACCTCAAGAAATTTTGCTCAGCAAGGTAATACCTACTCTCAGTACAAGCATTCAAACACATTTAAATGCCTCATTGCTGTTACACCAAATGGTGGTGCTTGTTTTGTGTCAGACTTGTTTGAAGGAGACATTAATGATGTTCAGATCTTTGAAGAGAGTGGTATACTCAAACACATAAATCCCTATGATGTCATACTGGTGGACCGAGGGTTTGCTGTGCAGGACTTGCTGAATCCTCTGCAGGCAAGAATCATGATTCCAGCATTTTTAAAAGGGAGGAAAAATTTGAGTGTAGCAGAGGAGCTATCAACAAGGAAAATAGCAAAGGCCAGAATTCATGTTGAGAGATTCAACCAGCGTTTGAAGAGCTTTAAAATACTTGGAAAAACAATTCCACTTTCACTTGCTCCCATTGCCACACAGATGGTTGTTGTTGCATGTGGACTGGTTAATTTCCAGCAAACATTGTGCTCATAAAGATACCAGTATCCAGGTAATGTGTTGAACAGAGTATAGTATTGCTCTATAACACTATGACGTCACATCAAAGCAATCCATTGTTTTGGCACCAAAAATCATGGTTGCCAAAGGGGACAAAATAACAGCAAAACAAATAATGAAATCACAATAAAATTCGGTTCATGAGATAGGGAAAGTGAGAATACTGCGACTATATTCACAGGGGAAAAAGTTTAAGACCATGAATGTTATCATTATGAACCATTATGGTTTTTACAAAAATGGTTTATTGGCAATTCCCATTACATTATACATGCATGTTTTTTTTTTACCTTTTTTCCCTGTGAAGGATTATAAACAACAAGAAGATTTACTTTAAATGTCTATTATTCTTGCCTGTGCAAACAAACTGTGACATCATAATGTTATAGGTTACTAAAGGCCGATTTAGACGGTACAACTTTTGCTCACAACTGTCGCATGCAACCTGCTTACGACATGACTTAGGTCAGATTTACACGCCCACAATAGACGTAAGTTAGTTGTACAGCAGATCTACACGACACAACTCGTGTCGTAAGGATGGCGTTAGCAGGTTGCATGCAATAGTTGTAAGCAAAAGTTGTGCCGTCTAAATCGGCCTTAAGATTTCTTTTTCTAGAAAATGTATTCATCAAGTGTTTCAAAGCAATTGAAACTTTATTGTTGATTTGGAAATATGAAAATATGCACATCAGTAGTTTTATGTTACTTTCCATTCTGGTTTTCTCAATGATAATATGTACATTTACACATGTCTCCCTTACTATGTATATAGATATAATATGATACATATTATAAGAGTGTTGTTAGGAAATGAATATTGCAACATCTTTGATTCACCAGTTCATAAGAAAGATTCCATTATTAATAAATCAATGACTTTACAATTCATTATTCAAATGTGTGTGCATAAAATACTACAATTATTAAATCTATCAAATAATGGAACTGGAACTGTTTAGTATAAATAAAATAAAATGTCCATGCAACTTTGATTTATATTCATGTACATACA